GATCTACAGCACCAGATGTGTGTTCCACCCCTAGGAGCAGGCCTTATCCAATTAGAAATTTGTCAGTTGTACGTATGTTAGTCAAGCCATTATTTCACTTGCAAGCAGTGCTTGGCATGTCCATAGTGTGCAGCACACAAGGTCCATTATGGAGTAGAATCATAGGGGATCCTTTCTTCCCCAACCATCTACATAGGCCTTCTGGTACTATGAACGTCATCCATCCAGTGGCATGGAGTTTCTGGCTTAGTCTCAGTTCCACCTCTTCTTCTCCTCCCGTACTCACATCATGCAGTTGTCTTCAGCACCACGGCCTTACCGACCTTTCTAGTGTACAACCGACATTAGTGGCAATAGCCATGGTGAATTGGAGGACCTCTAGGATCTCTCTCTAACCAACAGCTCATGGGGGGCAACTCACCCCTGGTAATGTAGATTTTTCTTAACAGTTGTATAGTTTGGGAGCCTCTGTTTTTATCTTACTCAACCATAAAAGTCCCCAAATCTTACAGCTATAGCTGGCCTTTGTTTCTTCAAGTATACTGTTTTCTCCATAGATCTTTGTTAGGTACCATAGCATGGGTAAGAGGTATTAATTTGGTTAGTTCTTTACTATCTTTAGTTATCCCTTGGGAGTCATTCTGCATTCTAGGGATCTTGCATGGAGTTTCTTTGTATTCTTTTATCTTTGATACGTTTACAGGTGTTGGCTCCAGTTGCCTGACCCTGCACTGGGCTAAGGAGGCAGGGGGTTTGTCCTGTCCTCATTGTACCTGTTGGTTCCAAGTCAGGCAGGCACTGGGTTTGCCTCCTGACTGTAGCCATATCTGTTATTGCTCCATTGACCACACCTGGTTGCTGTGGGAAGCCTTGGTGGGAAAAACTGCCTCCATCCCTAGTATAGCCTTTATCAGAAGAGACAAATGTGGCAAGACTTATGTTGAGCCCAAATTCCCAAAGAAAAAAACTGATAGAGAACCAAATTCAGTACTAAGGAGTTTCTGGAAGACTTAAAAACCAGAACAATAGTTTACAAAAGGCATTGAAAGGATAAAAACTGTCCCGGGGTGGTTAAAAATCCCCAAAGATTAAATAAGGTGCATTTCTCTTCAAGTAACACAAATGGATGATTTCTTCTGTCTGGTCTTTTTTATGTCTCTTGTAGGGTGCTCTGTTATTCTACAGACAAGTTTCACACGGTCAGAGTCACTTAGATCTGCTAAAGCTTCTCTCACTTTACAAAGATCCTGTCTTATTAAAGGGCTTAGCAAAACCATTAAAGCTCCATAGCATTCTCAAGGTCCCAGTTGAATTAAGCTTTCCTTTATCTCTCTGGTGAACAGTCTTATCTGACCCAGTGAACTGGACATCATATATTGCTTTTCTCATGAAACTCTCAGTAATGGCTGCCCCTCCTTTATAGTCCTCCAGCCCCTGATAATCATGTTAGTCTCCCTTAGTGATGACCATGTATCTTTAATGCCTTAAACCAGCCACCCCATTAAGGACTGCTCCCACCTGCATTGGCCTAGGTTGAAGAGCCTATATCATGAAGACAGACAGGTGGTTATAGCTCAGCTGTGAAGCTTCTGAAGGACTTAAACTGATGTTATTTGCTCCCATGTCCCATGCCCTCATGAGCCATGTGGTGAGGGGCTCTTTGATTGCTTGCTTGTAAGTTTTTCCTAGTTTTAACAGTTCCAGTACTGCTAGCCTCCTTTCCTTTCTGTATCTTAGATTGAATCTGAGGGGCAGCCTTAGCCACGTTCATTTTTAGGTCATTTCCTTTTTCATTATCATCTTTTTTTCCCCCAGAGTCCTTGGACTTTACACACGTTCTGTAACTGGATCTACCAGCACCTCCCTGGCCTTTTCAGCTTCCCCTGCTTTGGGCAAATCTTTGATTATGCAAAGTGGCCACGCCCCCTCTCTGGGTTCTGCTGTGTCTCAGGCCTGTAAGTTTTTCTAGCCTTTCTATAACCTTTAACAAATTTTCATATACCTGCAACTGAGGTATGTCCCCACATTTACAACACAGCTGTGGCCCACGCTTCTGTATGGCCGGCTCCTTTTTATCCTTTTTATAATCCATTGTAAGATCCACATCAGTACCGCCATTAACTCTCTAGCTTTTTCCAAACTCCTGTGGTTTGTCATTCCTAGCTCATCATCCTGCTGGTTTACACCAATTTGGCACCCAAGTTCTCTTAGAGTCTCTTGCTCCTGGCGCTATTAGACAAACCAAGTAACACACCTTTATCCGAATTTTTCATAGTTTATGTTCAAGGTAGGGGAAATAGAATAACTTACAAAGGCAAACACCCAGCGCCCTGTTCTGCCCTGTGGCTCAGTGACCCGTTGTTCCAGATTGCCTCTGCGCCCTGCCTACAGTTAGCTTTCGTCCACGCACTGTATACAAGTGGTTGTGGACCACCAAATATGGATATTGGGCATTTGCTCTTAACTGCTGAGCATTTCTCAAGCCCCCCTTAAGATATCATTTTAAATTTATTTAAATTTATTATTTATCCATTTATTGTGTATGGGCACATATGGCACACACGTGGCAATCAAGGACAACATGCAGGAGAAGACCTTCTGTCATGTAGGTCTCAGGGATCAAAATCAGGTAGTAAGGCATGATAGCAACCTCTTTTACTTTCTGAGTCATCTTGCTGCCCCTTTTTTTAAGAGACAGAGGTGGGGAGGAGAGGGAGGAGGGAGGAGAGAGGGAGAGGGGAGAGGGGAGAGAGAGGGGGAGAGAAGGATAGGGGAGAGAGGAGAGAGGAAAGGGGGACAGAGACTCTTATTATGCAGCCCTGGGTGGCCTAGAACTTGATGTGTAGACCAGGCTGGGCCTGAACTCAAAGAAATCTGCCTGCCTCTGCCTTGAGAGTGCTGGGTTAAAAGCATGCACCACCACATAGGTATGTTCTTATTTTTAAGGGCTATTGAAATGCTCTAGGTTCAGCCTGTCATTACCGATCCAAACATTGAGTCTCCAGTCCAGTCGGCGCTGGTGGAAACTTTCTCTTTTTTTCCGTGTGTGTGTGTGGGGGGGGGGCTGTGAATGCCTAGGTGCACACCTGTGGAGGCCAAAAGAGGATGTCAGGTTGCTGCTTTAACCTTTTTCTTTTTTTTATACAGGGGCTCTCAGTGAACCTGAAGCTAGGCTGGTAGCCAGTGAGCCTCAGGAATCCTCCTGTCTCCACCTCTCACAACACTGGGGTTATAGGCACCTGTGCAGCCAAACCTAGCTTAATTTTTTTAATGCATTTACTTTTGGGGAGCACACACATGCCATGGCATGTGGGTCAGAGGATAATTTGTGGGAGTCAGTTCTCTACTTCCACCATGTGGGTCCCAGGGATTGAACTCAGGCCATCATGCTTGGTAACAATGACTTCTATCCACTAGCTCTATACCTGGTTTTTAGGGGGATACTGAGATTCAAACACAGGTCCTTAATGCTTGTGTAGCAAGTGTAACTGGGCCATCACTTCAGCCTCTCTCTCTTCTTCCCTTTGGTCCTAAAGTGAAAAGCAGTTGTTTGGTAGTTCTACTAGTTCTTCAGGGGAGTTGCCTTCTGCATTCAGAACTGAAGTTACAGTTATGTGTAAAAAAAAGAATCTTTTTAGGACTGTAGAGATGGCTCAGTGGTTAAGAGTGTTACTGCTCTTGCAGAAGACCCAAGTTAAGTTGCCAGCACCCAGGATGGACAGCTCATAATCGACTATAGCTCCAGAGGATCTGAAACTGTCTTCTGGGCCTCCAAGGGCACCTGCACTCATGTGCAAATACCCACACACAGCCAGATACAGACACATAAATATAATAAAAGAACACCTGGCAGGATGATGAGCTTGGGAGGCAGAGGAAGGCAGATCTCTATGAGATTGAGGCCAGCCTGGTCTACATAGCAAGTTCCAGGTCAGCTGGGGCTACAAGGAGACCCTATCTCAAAAGAACAAAAATAAATCTTCAAAAATTGTATTATGAGCAGGGTGTGGTGGCTTATACCTTTAACCTCAGCACCTGGGAGGCAAAGGCAGGCAGATCTCTGTGAGACTGCCGCCAGCCTGGTCTACATAGTGAGTAAAAATGCTATTATGAGCAGGGTGTGGTGGCTCATGTTCCAGGCCAGCTGGAGCTACCTGTCTCAAAAAAACAAAATAAATAAAATAAATACATAAATTAAAAGCCCTATTATGGGGCTGGAGACATGGCCCAGAGGTTAAAATCCTGAACTGCTTCTCCAGGGGAACAAAGTTGAAGACCAGCATCCATTTCGGATGGCTCTCAACTGTCTGTAACTCCAACTTTAAAGGATCAGTCAGTTCTGGCCTTCTAAAGCATCTGCACTCGCATGTATATACCAACACAGTGACACACACACTTACACATAATTAAAAATGAAAAATTAAAATTAAAAACAAAATCTGCCTTGGAGTGGTGGCACAGGCCTTTAATCCCAGCACTGGGAGGGCAGAGGCAGGTGAATCTCCGTGAGTTCAAGGCCAGCCTAGTCTACATAGCGAGTTCCGGCAGAGCTGGGTCTACAGAGAGACCTGGTCTCTCACAGAGATCCACCTGTCTCTGCCTCCCAAGTAATGGGATTAAAGGCGTGCGCCACCACGCATAGAACTTTGTGTGTCTTACGGTACAGCTTGCATTGAGCAGCCCTCATCACCACCTCTCCAAAGCTCCGCCCTCTATCCGAACCCCTAACAACCTCCACCCCTTAAATCCCCTATCTTTTGTCTTTTCGGCTTTGCTGTGTCCAGGCTCCGCCCCCTCGTGATAGATAAGTACCAGTGTAGTTACTAAGAGCCAGGCTTTTCCGGTTAGGGTTGTCTGGGTGGCACCGAGCCCGCCTTGCCTGCCTAGTCTCTTCCGATCATCGTCTGGCGTGGCAGGTCTCAGAAAGCTGACTTGGGCCTTCGAGCTTCTGTCTGTCATGGCGGCGCCCTTACTCTCCTTCCGGTCACAGCCTGTCAGGACTGCGCAGTAATGCAGACACTTCTGGACCCAGCCAACGCTGTAACCAGGCGCTTCCTATTCCCGAAGCTGTCATGGCGGCGCTCAGGCCTCACTAAAATTAGCATATCGGAAGTGAGGCGGTTCTTTTGCCGGAAGCAAGCGCGGCGCTGGGAAAGATGGCGGCGGTGGGCAACGCGGTGCTCTGCGGGGCCCGGCCTGGCGGGGCTCGGGGCGGCGGGCGGCCCCAGCCTGGGCCGCGGCCGCGGGAGCTCCTGGCTGCCGGGCCGGCGCTCATAGCGAGCGGTGATGAGCTGGTGGCCGCCGTGTGGCCGTACCGGCGACGGTCGCTGCTGCGGCGCCTCACAGTGCTGCCGTTCGCCGGGCTGCTTTACCCAGCTTGGTTGGGCGCCGCCGCCAGCGGCTGCTGGGGCTGGGGCAGCAGCTGGGCCGAGATCCCTGAGGCCGCGCTGCTCGTGCTCGCCACCATCTGCCTCGCGCACGCGCTCACTGTCCTGTCAGGGCATTGGTCCGTGCACGCGCACTGCGCGCTCACCTGCACCCCGGTAAGTGCGCGCGCACGACCCCCACCCCGACCCCCGCACGGTGGGGCCTCGCCGCGGGTCCCGGCTGCTGCGATTGTGTGTCCTTAGCCCACTCGGGGAGCCTTCCGTTTGCAACGCCTGAGTCTCTAGCGGTGCCCTCTGCCCCGTACCTCCGGCCTAATCCCGATCCTGCCACTCGACTGGGATTTCCTCTGTGCGCGACTGTGGTGTGGTTATTTAGATTCATTAAGAAATACCCGATATATGGTGGTTTGTACGAGTTGTTAACGCTGTCTCCCCTGCTAGCGTGTACTCTGTTCATCACGGTCTCCTACATTTGTTTTCCTTTTTTCAGTTTAACTTTTTTTCATTTTGAGACTGGTTGACCTGGAATTTGATCAGGCTGGCCTCGAACTCACAGAGATCCATCTATCTGTCTCCGTTTCCTAAGTGCTGGGATTAAAGGCATGCGCCATCACCACCATCTCCTGCCTTGATTTTCAAAGTCTGAGACTAGCCCTATAGGGTGCCTTCCTAATCTATAAAACCAAGTCCCATTTTCCAGTGTTCAGCGTCTGTTCCTTATGAGACCAAAAGGAACGTGCAGTTCTTTGAGGTGCTTAAGACTAGCAGAAGTAAGTGACTTAACAGCTTGGGGTCTCTTGGTACCTATTTGTAAGATAAGGTAGGTTAAGGCTGATCAGGGTATGCAGCAAATCCATGCAGTGACCCCAAATCCAGAGTTCTAAATGCACTACCACTATAGGAAGCAGTCACCTAGCTTGGCAGGTAACACCCAGTGACCACATCCCCCTGGTGGTACAGATCACACCAAATTTGAAATCCTGGAACACTGATGTTAGTCTCAGGCTAGCCACCTCTCTAATCCCAGCTGTGGGTTGGCCACCAGAGGAAAAAGAACAGCATAAAGGACTGCAGGAAGAGCCAGAGTGCACCCTTACACACACACACACACTCACTCACACTCCACTCTCTGGGTCTGTTTGTGTGAGTGAGCCCTATTGTCTCCTCCAATGATGCTTATCCTGTGGAGGAGCTTGGGTTGGTAGGGCACTTCCAGCGGCCTTTTGGCCTGAAGCTAAACATTGTAGCTGGGAGCTTTCACTCTTGGGATGGAGGAGTTGGAGGAGCTAAGCGACCTTGGGGTGAGGAGAGACAGACCTGGGTTTGTTTCTTCCTGGGTTTCAGTTTCACCCTCCTGTAAAATGTAAAATGAGAGCTGGAACACTTCCCTCCAGGGCCATTGGAAGAAGCTGAGGTGACTTCTGTAAAGTGCCTGCAGTCATTGAAAAGTTCAACAAAGTAACTTCTGAGGCTAGGGGAGCATTTCCTATGTCTCAGGAAAATAGGATTTTGAAAACATGGGAAACCTGCTTTGTGGCATTGGAGGGGAAAAAAGTCAGACTCTTTAGACAGATACCATTAAGCTGAAGCCCCTGGGAACTTTAGATGGGGCCACCTGGGGAGGGAGGGCTCTGGAGTAGGTGACCTTAAGCAGAAGAGCTGGCTGTCTAGTGTGGATGTGCTTCATGCAAAGAAGATGGTATAGAGAACGAGGCATGAGAACCTCTTGGCATTATAACATATCATCATCTACAAGTTCATGGTCACTCAGGCTCCAGAACGATGCGATCCGTTTTTTTGTTTTTTTTTTAAAGTTGAAAAAAAAAACCTTCATCTCAGTGTTTCTTTGTTTTTATTTTTTGAGGGGGGTCTTTTTGAGACAGGGTCTCCCTGTAGCCCCAGCTGTCCTAGAACTCACTATGTAGACCAAGCTGGCCTTGAACTCACAGAGATCCACCTGCCTCTGCCTCCTGACTGCTGGGATTAAAGGCGTGTGCCACCATGCCCAGCTTTCCATTGTATTTTTAACAGTCTCAATTACGTTTTCCTTTACAAATTTGCAAAAAATTTGTATTGAGGAGATTATTTCCTGTGCAATAAATAGCTTCTATCTTGTGACATTCACTGTAAGTATAGCCAAAAGCACAGTCAAATAAAACTCATCCTATGTATCTTTCTTCCTTTATTTTAGTACCT